TTCTATGCATGTGATACACACCTCGTCGGTAAACCTACGTAAGTACTACACTTTTGAAAAGTTGAAGCCGTTTTGAGATTGCGAACTAGTCACAGCGTCATTTAACGCAACCATTCATGGCTTTAAATCATGTGACATTTGCCGTGAAATACCATGAGATTTTTGGCTCAGGCGATCCCGTCCAGGTTTGTTTATTAACTCAAAGTTGCGAGATAAAAAAAAAACAGAGAGATCCTCTCCCCAGCTACAGGTAGGGTGTCACTGTTGAAGAAGTTCTAGGAAAATACTGATGCCTTAAAAAACAAAGACGCCTTCAATTTTCATGTAGATCGATAAAATAGATGAGAGCAATAGAAAGGACTATTGTGGGAATCATTATGATGGATTCAATAATGAATAACTGTTTGAGACAACATAAATCACATGGGCCGTATCCTATCCTTCCCTTTGCTAGGGGAACAAAAAATTCCTCTGAATTTTCTTTGTTTTTCCAACAAAAATTGCTCTAAGAATCTGCATATTTGTTATGTACAGGGGGGGGGGCAATAAAAAAGACATTTTGTCCCAGAACCGACCTTGGGCTTTTTTCGTGAGTTTCTGGACATCGGCAACCAAATGTTTGCCATGTCGTGAAAGTTACTCTGGAGCTCCATCGCAAGACGTAAGGCCGACGTCATACTTTGCGATTCGATTAGCGATTCGCTCGATTCGCTAGCGAATCGCTAGCGAATCGAGCGAATCGCTAATCGAATCGCAAAGTATGACGTCGGCCTAAGGCTCTTGCCGCATCGCTTCCATTGACGCGTTTTCTGGGTTTCAAAATCAAGAGTAGCCAAATATGCTTTCAGTCAAAGTCGATTTTCTCAGCCATAATCGCTGCGAAATACCACGGCAGAGATGCTCTGGAGAGATCATTGACTGGGGTTCACATACGTTTTACAATGGATGTTCAAAAATTATCCCTGGAGATTTCACAACATACACATGGAAATGGGCAAAGACTTTCAGGACAACCTAATAAGATTGACGACCGAAGTCAGTGCTTAGAAAATAAAACGAGATTCTTAGAAATTTATTTCCGCCTCTAGTTCTACTGAGAAAAAGTGAGGATATTTAACTTTCTGGCAAAGGACACAACCGAAACTCGTAACGTAGGCCAGAGGTTTACTCTCAAAAAGATTCCCACACTTGCTTCAAAACCTTTTGCGCATTTTAAAACTACGTCTACTACCAACCTATTTCCTGAATAAAGGTCGGCAAAAAAAGTACGTCGCTGCGAGGGAAGACTGCTTGTTACGATAACGGAGGTCTAGCGAAACTAATAGAACCAAAAATTTGTAACCTCGTTTTCTATTCTTGTTTAAAACCTCCACTCAATGTGCCACCATTCGATGTTCTTTTCATGATTGATTACCTGTTTCTGTACTAACGATAAGTTTGAGCGTGTTTATACCCTAGAAACCCGAAAAACCATCCAAAAGCGCATTTTCTCACAAAGAATCACATGCCTTCACTACAAAATAGTCTCCATCGCGACACTACGAGTTGTTTCTATCGGCCGGCAACAAGGGAACTGCTGTCTATCTTCGCTTTCTTTTCCTGAGTTAGGCTCTCCACTGACTCTCTTTACGGTTTCGAACTCCACCAGTGCTATTTTTTCAGAAAACAAAGCCCAACGCGATCTAAGGGAAAAGCACCAAACACTCGTTCCCACCTCTGTTGATCACACAGCTCAACCCCGCAGAAGATTATGCTCACCTGAACCCATGCACTCGTAAAATCCGTCGGTACCATACATTCAATGGGTTTCCCTCCGAATTGCTTCCATGATACCAACACTGCTAGACCAACTAACAGATTACAAGTCAAGAAAGAATGTAGACTGGCGATCACATCCTTTGCACCTTGCTCATTACTGTATGGAACTGCATTGAGAACTCGGAACACAAACATCTCAAATAGACCCATTTTAAGAGAATGTCGGTAAAGTAAAACCAATAATAAGAAATACTTTCCACCAGTGGTACGGCATGTTTTGTGTAACAATGTACAGTTAAATTATGTTCATGAATAAAAACCGCGAACACAACAATAACAACATTTACTCAACAATCACATCGGCCTCCTTGGTGGCTCGAGTGTAAACAATTTGGCCTCCATGGTGTACGATGCATTTGACAAGCCCCTTTGCTTGAAGTTCCCGAAGTCCTGCCTTGGCGAGAGACGCTCGAACCTTCAGACGCTCAGAAACGACGGATGGCGTGATCAATTTGTAGGTGATGACCTGAACATTGTGATCGAATGTTACAAATCTCAGCAGCTTTTAAAATGAAGCCAAGAACAACTGCAAGGCACACAAAGCAAAAATAATGAGTGTATGTCTCATATCATATTTCATATGTATCCCATTGTAGCAGCGCTGTTGTCACTGTTTTAGTGAACCTTTCAACTTTGGACGATTAAGTACGCGAATTGAGATGGGGGTGAGTTGTAAAAGGGAATGCACCGGCTAATATCCATGCATGCACCCATCGGTGTTCGAGGAGCTCTCATCAAAACCAATTTATGGCGAAGACCCGATACCTATCGGTCCGACTTCTTCGAGCTCGACAACCAAGAGTTTTGCAGACTCACGGTGGGTAGCAGAAGGATTTCTCTCGGTATCGAGATGGAGAGGGATAATTTCACAACGTCGTTGCAAACGACCAGGTGATGAACTCTAAAAATATTGAACTCCCTCAGCCCACCGATATCAAATGATGCAATTTGCAGAATTTTGGGCCTTCAGCATGCATAGGCGCATGAAAATGAATGTGTGGTGAAAAGAAGCGACTGCATGAACGCTAGACTCAGGCGTGGCTCGCGCTGTGATAACTTTTTCAGTTTATTTATTCATTTACTTGCACGACCCGTGACCCTAATCGGTGAGTGAATATTAACGGTAATGGTAATTCAAAAAATGATTTACGAACAAGACAGCTTAATCCCTTGGTTCACGAGGAGAATTTACCAGTGATTATAGCCCACTTGTGAAAGTTTCATTTACACCTTCGTCCGCGTTTTAGGTACTTCCTATGCAGATGTAGAATCGTTGAATCACAATTACAGAGAGTACTCCGATGTGACTGAGCCAAGCAATCGCGATTTTATAAAATCTACGGATGAATAGTGAAATATGTGGCTGGTTTAATTGGGGATTATATTAAATTTTGCAATAACGTGGAGGCCACCGATTTGTAAGCGAA